CTGAGCTGGGCTGAACCAGGCTGGGCTGGGGTGAGCTGAGCTGAGCTAGGCTGAGCTGAGCTGAGCTGGGCTGAACCAGGCTGGGCTGGGGTGAGATGAGCTGAGCTAGGCTAAGCTGAGCTGAGCTGGGCTGAATCAGGCTGAGCTGAGGTGAACTGGGGTGAGCTGGGCTGAGCTGAGCTAGGCTGACTTGGGCTGAACTGGGCTGAGCTGGGCTGAGCTGGGCTGAACTGGGCTGAGATAGGCTCAACTGGGCTGAGCTAGGCTGAACCGGGCTGAGCTGGGCTGAGCTGGGCTGAGCTGGGCTGAGCTGAGCTGACCTGGTTGAGCTGAGCTGGGCTGAGCTAAACTGAATGGGGATAAACTGGGCTGTGCTGTGCTGAGCTGGGCTAAGCTGGACTGAACACGGCTGAACGGGGCTGAGCTGGGCTGAACGGTGATAAACTGAGCTGTGCTGCGCTGAGCTGGGCTGAGCTGGACTGACCAGGGCTGAACATGGCTGAGCTGGGCTGAATGGGGATAAACTGGGCTGGGCTGAGCTGAGCTGGGCTAACTGGGCTGGGCTGTGATGAGCTAAGATAAGTTGGGCTGAACTGGGCTTGGTGGGTTGAACTGTGTTAACCAGCCTAGGCTGAACTGGGTCCAGCAGAAATGGACTAGCTGAGCTGACTTAACTGGAATGAGTTTGAAGAGATGCTCTGTGCTCGATGACCTTGGCTGGGCCACGTGGGTCTCGTTGTGCTGAGCTGGCCGTGCAGGACTATCCTCGCCAACACTGTGCTGACCTCAGTGACCTGGTTGTGCTAAGGACAGGTCAGGCTGTGTCTGCATCAGTCCCACCATCGCATACACATCCTTCTTCCAACCCCAGACACAAAGTGCTGGGCTCTAGGGTGGCTGGTGGTGGGCAGTGAGGGTTGGACTGGCAGGGGGCTCCTCTCTACCCTGGACGTCTGCCTCACCGGTGGCTCACTGTGCTTGGGGCTGAGCATGCCAGCCGCAGCTCCAGTGCCTCAGAAGGAAGAGAGAGCTGGCCAGGGTCTGAGCCATCCTGAGTGCAGAGATGGCAGTGCTGCGGGAGGGGGGCCAGACCCACCTGCTCCAACAGGGAGCACCCCTCGTCCTCCCACAAGCTCAGAGCTGGGCTCCTGCTGCAGGGGGTGGGGGGCGATGGCGGCCTCCCCACACCCCCAGCAGCCCGTACGAGGACCCTGGGCCTCGCCTCAGCCATGCACCTCCCGTTGGCCACATCTGGCCAGGCCTAGAGGCCTGCAGTGGGCTCAGCCCTGGAGGGGCAGCAGTGGTGCTCTGGCAGTAGAGAGCCCACAGAGTCGGTCAGACCCCCAGCTGGCAGAACATGGGAAGACACCTTCTCACCCACCCCCTTCTCTTTTGTCCTCTCTTGGGTCTTCAGAGAGTCAGTCCTCCCCAAATCTCTTCCCCCTGGTCTCCTGTGGGAGCTCCCCGCACGATGAGAGCCTGGTGGCCATGGGCTGCCTGGCCCGGGACTTCCTGCCCAAGTCCATCAGCTTTTCCTGGACCTACAAGAACAACACCGAGGTCAGAGCCCAGGATATCAAGACCTTCCCCACGGTCCTGAGAGAGGGCAAGTACGTGGCCACTTCCCAGGTGCTCCTGCCCTCTGCGGATGTCCTCCAGATGTCTGAGGCACTCCTGGTGTGCAGTGTCAAACACCCCAACGGCGACAAGAAGGTGGAAGTGCTAGCCGGAGGTAAGAGCTGGCCTCCTCCCTGGGGCTGGACGGGGGGCGTGGCGGAGGGGCTGGGCCAGACTGACGCCTTGTCCCCTGTCTCCAGAGCTCTCTGTAGAGCCCCCAAACGTGAGCATCTTCCTCCCTCCTCGCGACGCCTTCTCCAAAACCACCAAGCGCACATCCCAGCTCATCTGCCAGGCCACAGACTTCAGCCCCAAGCAGATCTCCGTGTCCTGGCTGCATGAGGGAAAGCTGCTGGAGTCTGGCTTCACCACGGACCCGGTGCAGGCCCAGCCCAAAGAGTCTGGGCCCACCACCTTCAGTGTCATCAGCAGGCTGACCATCACCGAGAGCGACTGGCTCAGCCAGAGCGTGTTCACTTGCCATGTGGAACACAAAGCGAAGTCTGTCGAGAAGAACGTGTCCTCAGTGTGTGGCATCAGTGAGTGGTCCTGCCCCCGAGTGTAGCCCCTCCAGAGTGAGGACCCCACACACACAAGTGTCCACTCAGGTCTGCAGATGCCGCCCAGACATGGCCAGCTGCTCCCTGAGCCTTGGCTTCCCGGAGCGGCCAAGGGCAGGGAGGGGCCCGTGCAGGGCAGAGAGGGGCCACCTGTCAGATGGGGGCCCAGTGTCCTCCTCCAGCAGGACCCCAGGGCTCAGGAGTGCTCAGCATAGTCGGCCCTCCTTCTTTGGGCTCTTTGGGAAAAAAACACACCTTCACCTGATTTCACATCCAACCAGTCACTCAAACTCACTCTCTCTCACTCCAGATCCATCCACCCCTATCAGAATCTTCGCCATCCCCCCCTCCTTTGTCGGCATCTTCCTCACCAAGTCAGCCAAGCTGTCCTGCCAGGTCACAAACCTGGCCACCTATGACAGCCTCAGCATCTCCTGGACCCACCGGAATGGTGAAGTTCTGAAAACCCATACCAACATCTCTGAGAGGCACCCCAATGACACCTTCAGTGCCCTGGGCGAGGCCACCGTCTGCCTGGAGGACTGGGAGTCAGGGGACGACTTCACATGCACAGTGACCCACACGGATCTGCCCTCTCCACTGAAGCAGACCATCTCCAGGCTCAAGAGTAAGCTCACTACACCTTCCCTCTGCCCCCAGGACTCTCTCACGGCATCCCGGGGTGTGGAGACACCACGGGCAGGGCCAGGGGGCACCCCTCTACTCCTCCATTGTTGGGACACGAATCCCGCTAGCCCCCAACCTGAGCTCACCACTATCTCTCCTCCCACAGAGGTCAACAAGCAACAGCCCTCCGTGTATGTGCTGCCACCAGCCCGGGAAGAGCTGAGCCTTCGGGAGTGGGCCTCGGTCACCTGCCTGGTGAAGGGCTTCTCGCCCCCAGATGTGTTTGTGCAGTGGATGCATAGAGGGGAGCCCTTGTCCTCTGACAAGTATGTGACCAGCCCCCCAACGCCCGAGCCCCAGACCCCGGGCTTGTACTTCGTCCACAGCGTCCTGACTGTGAGAGAGGAGGACTGGAGTGCTGGGGAGGCGTACACCTGCGTCGTGGGCCACGAGGCCCTGCCCCACGTGGTGACCGAGAAGACCGTGGACAAGTCCACTGGTAAACCCACCCTGTACAACGTGTCCCTGGTCTTGTCTGACACAGCCAGCACCTGCTACTGACCAGGCTGCCCTGCACAGGGGCACCCGGAGCCTCGGGGAGCTGGCGCTGTGTGTGTGCATGCGTGCAAACCAACCGTGTCGATGGGGTGAGGGGTTGCATTTTTAAAAACTAGAAATAAAAAGATCCATTCAAAAGATGCTGGTCCTGAGTGAGCAATGCTCCCGCCTGCCAGCACCATGGCTGTGCTGCCCACCCCCCACAGACCACCCTCCACAACAGCCCTACGTCACCCACCCACCTCCCTCCAGCCTCTGGAAACCCCTGAGCTCTTTGCAGACTGAGCCCATGTTAACCCTTCTCTAGCTGCTTCCACAGCCACACAGGCACGGAGTGTGCAACACACACATGCACACACACAGACACTTGCACAGACACATACACACAGAGATACAGGTGCAAGTAGACAGACACACATGCACACGGGCACATGCATACACAGAGACACACACATGCACAGACATGGACACATGTGCACACAGAGACACAGATGCACGTGGACACAGACACACATGCACATGGACATGCACACATGCCCACAGAGACATACATGCACGTGGACACATGCACACATGCACACGGACACAGATACACATATGCACATGGACATATGGACACATGCACACACACAGACACTTGCACAGACATGCACGCACAGAGACACGCACACGCACATGGACACAGGGACACACATGCATGTGGACACGTGCGTGCTCAGACATGGACACACATGCACATGGGCATACAGACACACACCCACATGGACATACACATGGACACATGCACACTCACACACATGAACAATACATACACATGCACACTCATACACACATGCACACACAGCTCACATATGCACATGAACACATGCATACACATGGACACACACGTGGGCAAGACAGGAGCACACACAGACACACAATGATGGACGCACAGACATATGGACACAGGCATATACACACGCACACGCACACAGACATGGGGGCACATGTGCGCACACAGACACATGTCCTCACATGGATGCCAACGCTTGTGCAGCTGTGGTCACTCCGCCTCTCAGCACACATCCCCGCCCTCTCCGGCAGTCGCTCTCTCTCTGCACCGTGCTGGCTGCAGGGCTTCCTGCCCAAGGCTCTGCTTGTCCTTCTGCCTCAGCTTGGAGATGCATCCGTGGGCCGGCCCACCCGGACTCTGACCAGGGCCACCACCCCCAGGTCCGGCACAAAGGTCTCAGAGGGCCACACTGGACCTGGCCAGCTACGGCTCCTCAGGGAAACCCTGGCCTGTGTCCAGGAGGGGTGTCCACCCCTGTCCAGGCTCTTGGTGAAGGCAGCAGGCCCCGGGCCTCCACTTGTGAACAGACAGAGTCGGGGCATCTCCTGATGGAGCAGGCAGTGCCCGATATCAGCCCCGGAGGCAGCTAGGCCATCCCTGGAGGCTCCTCCTTGCTGTCGGAGGCTGTAGGGAGCCCGATCTGAGCAAGGTCTGTCCCTGCAAATACCCAGCCCTGGAAATGGTGGGAAATGAGACTGCCCTAGAGCAGGGAGCCCAGCGGCAGGGAGGGGAGCAGGGGCCAGCGTGGGGCCCTCACTCCCAATAGACGGCACTGTTCCCCTCAGGCTGCCACCTGCTCCCTCCCCAGCTCTTGGCCCCTGGGGGCCCTGAGCTCCACTTGCCCCCAAGGGCCTATCTGTGTGGAGCTGCAGACCCCACCACATGTCTTCAGCCTGTCCATCCCAACACCACCCTTCCTGGGGCCTCAGGCATCTGTCTGACCCCTCAGTCCCAGAACCAGGAGTCCTAGTGGGGCAGACAAGCCAGCCAGGGGCCCACACGGCTCCTCACATGTGCCATTCTCTCTAAGAAGGGAGAGAGCAAGAGTCCCACTGAGGAAGCTAGGAGGGGCCCCCCAGGCCCAGACATCTGCCTGCCTCCCACTGCCACCCCTCACTGGCCAGGGGGCCACGCACCCCAAACCACAGATGTCAGGAGACCACTCCCCGCCTCTCAGCCCCAGGGGCCCTGGCTGTGCCACCGCCTACTCAGGAGAGTCCAGGACACACTGGGGTCCCCACCTCCGATCCCAGCCCAGGCCGCAACCCCACTGCTATGTGTCTGTGTGCTGCTTCTCCACGCTCGCTGCCGCCCCAAGGCCCTAGGACAAGGTGCTCAGGGTCACTGCGCTGCTCAGCCTTGGCCACACCCTGCCTCCCCCAGCCCAAGCCCACCCCTGGCCCCTCTTCAGGCTGTCAGGGGCCCAGCTCGCGTCTGGCTGAGACCCTCTTGACCAAGCCCAGGAGCCCCTTGGGCTCCACAAGGTGGTTGCTCAGGAGACAGCAGGGCGGAGAAGGCCATGCACGTGCCCTGGACACCGCTCTTCACACCCCATCCCCTCGCTTCCGCTGCCCCTACCGCTCCCGGCCCGACTCGTGGGCAGCACAGCCAAGGGGCCACAGGCGGGCTTGGATGACAGGCGGCCCCAGGGGTGGGCTTTGTGGGTAGGCAGCTGGAGCCTGACCCCTCTGTGCTGTGTCCCTGCAGAGGGGGAGGTGAGTGCCGAGGAGGAGGGCTTCGAGAACCTGTCGGCCATGGCCTCCACCTTCATCGTCCTGTTCCTCCTGAGCCTCTTCTACAGCACCACCGTCACCCTGTTCAAGGTAGACTGGTGGGCGGGGGCAGGAAGGGAGAGGGAGGGAGGACAGTGACCCTGGGGCTGCGCGTGACCCACCTTCATTCCCAATGGCGGGAAAGCAACTCACGCTGTCTCTGTGGCCCGCAGGTGAAATGACCCACCAAAGAAGAGCATGGGAGACCAGAGACGAACCCAAAAGGGCTGCCGCCTTCGGGCCTGGGGTCCCCAGCCTGTGTGGCCTGTCGACTTGTCCTTAAATCTCCCCATGTTGCCCTCCAGCTTCCAGCTCTAAGAAACGGGCTTCTCTCAACAGGCCAGAGGCCAGGGCCGTGTGTGGAGCTGCAGCCGTGGGCTCTGCCCAAAGTTATTGCTTCGCAATGTACGCACTTGTCACCTCGAATAAATGTATATATTGGTTCTTGGGAAACTGCTTGCTTGTGAAGGGTTTTTTCCCAAACTGCACTTCTTGAGTGTTGCATGAGCATCTCAAGAGGTGATTCTAGTTCCAAAGGACACGGGGTAAAGGGAGGCCCATCTCCACACAGGCCTGCTGGGTGATGTGCCCAGAAAGGGGCCCCACACGCACGACCCAGCTCTCGGGACTTGTCCAGCCTGATGAAGGCCAACAGCCGAGCTGGAGAGAATTCCAGGCCTGGTCTCCCAAACACAACCTGAACTGGGAACCAGGCTAGGGCCTCCGGGGCCCCTGTGTGCCGTCAGCAGGATCCTCTGCCAGCGAGTACTGGAGGGCCCGTAGTCACCTTGTTGCCATTCCTAGCGAGCCCGGCCACATCGAGGTCTTGTCCCAACCTGCATAGCCTGCATGCCGGTGGGGTTCAGGGGGAGCTCTGGGTGGCTGTGCCCGCTATGATGGCAGCCTGCAGGAGCCCAGGGACCTCACCCCTCAGCCTGGGGCCGGACAGTGACGGGAGTGTGGAAGTGGGAGCAGAACTTTCGGGTGAACCGGTTAGGAGTGTGCATGATGGGAGAGGCGGAAGCTGGGGGGGAAAGGCTCCGTCCGTCTGTCCATCCATCCCTCGTACCAAAAGAAGGGCAGGCAGCAGCCAGGCCCAGGAGCAATGGCAAGGAGTGAGACTGGGGAAGCGGGAGCCCAGCCGTGGGGCTGGGAATTAGCACTCGGAGACGGGAGCTGTGCAAAGCGGAAGTGGGGCCACATGTCCAGGGCTCACTTGACCATGGCGTGGGCAGCCAGTGGTGGCCCACAGACCATGGAGAAGTCCAGGTCAGCTGTGGCAGCAAAGGTCTGGGTGAAGGTGGCAGTAGGAGATGGCAGAGAGAGTCCAGTAGACCCCAAAGACCCCAGAAGGAGAAATCTAAGATGGCGCCCAGTGAAGGCGGGTCCTGGGAGCCAGGATCCCAGGAGGAGGCAATTTCAGGGTACTGCAGAACAGTCTGGAGTTCGCAGGGCAGGCTGTCGTGGGGGTGTCGTGGGTCTGAGCACCGGCCTGGCCCTGAAGGGGTGAATGTCCAAGAGAGATTTGGAAGTAGACTTGTGTCCCAGGGGATATCGTCCCCTAGCCTGGGATCTGAGTAGGCTGCTTCAGGCTCCAGCTCCATTTTGTTGAAATGGATCCTGTGGCACGCTCAGCTTCACAGGCTGGGGGAGACCTTACGGGGGTCCCATGCAGCATAAACCATGTCCAGCAGGGTGGGGGACTCTCATGCAGGCCGTGGGGCTGACAGCTCAGGACAGCATCTTTGTTATTGTCCTGGGGTTGTCCCATCAAAGAACCACAGACAGGCAGCTTCAACAACAAACTTATTGTCTCACAGTTCCGGAGGCTG